GTGTGTGTGTGTGTGTTTCTTGCTATAGAGGTGAAACTGTTTCATTGTTGGATTATCTCAACTCAAGTGTTTTCATTGTCTGCAATAGGACTAAGGCTACTTCGATCTATGATTTACTCATCTTGGGGGAATAGGGGCTGTAACCCGGCTGGTGTGGTGAAAATTCAAAACACCCACACACGAGGGGAAAAAAAAAAAAAAAACACGAGGTAAAGCTGCATGGATACTGGATCTACTCATCTGGGTGGACAGGGGCTGTTATGGTGAAAATTTTAAACACACACAAAACGCAAACACAATCCACACAGCACACGCACAACGCATACACAGCACACACAACACACAACACACACACACACGGAATAAGTACTGAGGAAACCCAAGAAACTTGCTCCATGCCGCTTTGTGATGACCCACCGTAGATTCAGCCAGCGTGTGGTTCGCATGCCTTATGTTGTGAGGATTATGAAGGGTTCTCTTCATACGTACGATGAAAGTCTACACTGCACTCATGTATGCCACCCTGACATGTCATGTCCAATTTGTAGACGGGCCGGAACCGCAATGCCTCTACACTTGCGGCCGACGTGCCTCTGTGTTCCTAGCATGTAGGAGCCACGTAGCCTGTGACATCTGTCTACGCCGTGCCATTCGATGTAGTAAATGTGACTGTGAGAATTGGATGCAGTGCTTCCACAACCCACACCCAAACCGGTCCTGTCTGGTCTGTAGAGATGGCCAATTACCATTATTAGGCAACAGCTGCTCCTTAACCTTATGCAACCCACACACTGCTCCTTAGCCTCATGTGTTGGTGTGCCATTCTAGAGTGCCATTCTAGAGTGGTCTGCCCCAGCGGTCACTGTTTAGAATCCTAGAGTGCCATTCTAGTGTGGTCTGCCCCAGCGGTCACTGTTTAGAATCCTGCCAGAACTCCACCTCCCCCTCCCATTACCTTCCTCCCTCCTCTTGTGTATTGCTAGTAATACATACGAATGAGCATCGTTAAGAGAACAGGCACAATATAAGTTGAAGATCTGAGAAGAAATGAACAGGGATATATCTCCGCCTTTGCTCTGCCTCCTTTCATAGTGTGCAAGTGGGCCGTAATGTCACACGGGGATGTGGGCAGCTCGCGTTTAACCACAATCAATGTGGCCAGCAGCCTTGTGCATGAGCGGCATGGTAAAAGGGGAGCTGCAAGAACAAATGAAATGGGTACCCCCCAAAGAAAGCAATCGTGATCACAATCAATGATCAGAAGGGATTTAAACGCTTCTGTCATACTCCGTGTTGCTTGCTATAGGGGTGATACTGTTTCATTGTTGGATTGGCGCAACTCGAGGGCTTCCGTTGTCTGTCATAGGACTGAATATGCTTTGATGTTGGAATCTGGATCTGCTTTTTTTTTTTTTTTTGAATAGCCCTTGTGATATCCCTCTATCCTGGCCGTGGTAAGAGAACTGTCAGAATTGAGGGGTTATCTTTGGGGCTGCTCCATCTATTGGTGGGGAGTGGCACCTGCTGGAAACCGGGTCCAGCGTCCCATTGGTACATCGTGTAACACTGATTTTGGATCTGCTCATCTGGGTGGAATAGGGATTTTGGATCTGCTCATCTGGGTGGAATAGGGATTTTGGATCTGCTCATCTGGGTGGAAAAGGGATTTTGGATCTGCTCATCTGGGTGGAATAGGGGCTGTTGTGGTGAAAATTCAAAACACACACAAATGAACACAACGCTCTTTCCAGGTGCTGTATATGGTCTTTGCGGGGTTTCTGGTCGGTCAGGTTGATGTAGTCATTGGCATGATGGCATCCCTATTTTTTTTTATCGCTTCGGTTTTTTAATGGGCCTGGTGTTGATATTTAGCTGGGCAAGTGCGACCTGATGGTTCATTTCTCTCCCTTCCATACATGTCAATCATCATGGGTAAATGAGTGAACTGCCTTTGGCGGTCGTATGGAGATACGATATGACTAGAGAGCCGAAGGAGCGCACTGCGCTCTGCATGGAAGGGGAGGGGAACACTTATATCTGTCAGGTGGTGTGGGCTTGATGTTGATTGATCTCACTTGTCCTATTATGCACATCCGAGACATCCACTCCAGCAGTGGAGCAGCTGCTAATCATTGGACCACGTGCCGCGGGATTTCCGTGCTGGGGTGGGGTGAAGTGCTCATCTTGGGGCTTCACTTTCACCCCAGCCCACTTAGCCTTATGGTTAGGTGTTTGCCTGCCGAGCCGTTGGTTGTGTGTTCCGAGTCTTGTATTCGGATTACACGCAATATGCTGCATGCCCAGCGTGAGTGTTCGCAGTCGGGTCCCTAGCTGTTGTAGGAATCCAGCATACTCTGACGTTTGCTACCGTCTCTACTGCTTCACCCGCCTGCTGCTCTACCCAAACAGGCCTTTGCTAGAGAGCCTGTTTGTCTGTGCAAATCAGCTTTCAGCAAAATGAACTGCGGCGTGGGCATTATGGCAGCGTTGAAGGTAAGTACGCTATGCATCTCGCTTGCCTTCACGCAACTTCTCATGTACTTTCAGGGGAAGACTGATGATGCGTATGGCACGGTGTTCTGCACTAGAGGTATGTCAAAAACCATTCACTGTCGAGGGTGCATCTGCATCTGAACTGGATCGCATTTGTATTCATTTACGTTTGTATGTGTGTAAGAGAGGGCAGCAGGGGGAAGAGCAGAATGGAGAAAACGGGGCCGAGAGCGATGACTGTAAGGTAATGTTTCTTCATAAATTTTTTTCTTGCAAGCTATATGTGGAATAATTTGTCGAATTCGTTAATGCTTACGTTGTAGTGCGTTATGAATGTGGTTTTCGCCGGCGAACTTTTCGGCCTTTTGAAAAGCTGAACTTGGAAATGGAACCTTTTTTTTGTTTTTTTTAACAAAAAATGAGCTTACTTCCCCTGTTCTCATAACCTGAGATGGAACAAGGCTTTTTTTTTTTTTTTTTTTAACTTTTGTATCTTCCTCACAGGTGGCAGCAAATATCGCCAGAATCAAACGGATTCGTTGTTTTCGTTGATGCTGAAGGGTTGATGATGGTTGTGCATTCCAATGGTATGCGCTGAAACCGGACTGGGTCTAACGAGTGGCCAAAAACATGATCGGCTGTGTGTGATCCAAGCAGGAGGAGGTGTGTCTCTAGCAAGCTCTGAATGGGAGCGCAAATCGAACGGTGAAGTGACATATGGATAAGCAACTCTCAAGCATCGACAGAGAGCTGACGGGTGCTCGCTGCCCATATTGCGATGCGATTCGCCGGCTTATATGTCAGTCAGTAGCAAGCCACAACAGTTCCTTACAACCGTTCTTCGTCTGGCACAGCTTCTTTCACACAGTGAGTGTTTTGGCGGCTGTCATTTGGTGATGACAGGGAAATGCCAAGGATCATTATTACCATTTCAATGATTTCATACCCTTTTCATAATTTCTCACGACTACTTCACAATGATAGGTTTTTTCATTATTATCCTGCACACGCATTTGCAAATGTCATTTTGAAATTGCCACTGTTGTGTGCTGCAGTTTGTTGTGCGCTTTTTACACCTCAGCTCAGTGGTGCGCCGAATGCGGTCATTCGTTGACTGTGCTGCTTTTCAAGCTAGCGGAAGCAGCGGTCATGTGCTCTCTTGGTCTTGGTTTGCCCCATTGCTTAGCTTTTGGTAGTAGCTCACTGTAGCTGTATATTCTTGAATTCCTGTGATTTGTATTTACTATTTAATATTTATGTAATTTTATTACTCGGTTTTTCCATGCAAGCTTGGACAAATGTGGCACCGATTCGGCATGAAGGGAGAACCGACTTCAACAGTTTTGCCTGTGTGTTGTCAGGCAAACAGATCAAAGTCAGTCCACCTGATGATGAAAAGGCCCGGCATTTGTCCTCTACGCTCTCCGCATTTACATGGGAAAACTTTCTAACAGAGGAGGAAGGTATGGAGTGTATGGACCCGTAGTCTGCGACTTTACGGAGGCTTGTTTCTTGTTTTTCTAATACCAGAGGAGGAAGGCTGGTAATGCTGCCACAAAGTTAGCATCGACATGATGCAAGCATGTCGCATGAGGTGGATTGGCAAGGTGGACAAATCGGATCATTGTAATTCGCGGTGATGATTCCCATTGGCTCAAGAGTGGAAGGATTGGGATTCCTTGGCAGTGCGATGTCGAGGAGCGTTGGGAGCGACGAAGATGGTTACGCCACGATAACAAAGCTCTCCTCATCTTCTTCTTTTTCAGTATACTATTGTAATTCGCAGCGGGGGAAATCAGATCAGCCAGCAGAGATCTGCGTGCGTGCCTGTATGTCCTTGCCCATCCAGGTGTAAGTCTTTACCTGTGCGACACTCAACCCGGTTTTCCGGCAGGTGACGCGCCCCACCAATAGACGGGAGCAACCACTGACAGGGATTGCTAGGGAGCGTTTGTCATACCACTCCCTCTGGCAGCCTTCCCCCCCCCCTCCCCCGCTGAGGTTTTCACAAAAAAAAAAAAAAAAAAAAAAAGTATTTTGGGTAGGCATTGTCCAATGGATGGAGGCAAGAATCCCAGTTACATGCAGATGAATTGCCTGGATGTTTCAGTTAAAGCAGGATGATCGTGTCCCTACCGGTAGGCTGAACTCTCTCTCTCTATATATATATATATATATCGTCAAATAGATATATATATATATATATATATATATATCGTCAAATAGAACTGCCCGGTAAACCGTAGGCAGAGAGGGAGAAGAGGACAACAAACGAGGGGCTGTGAATGGAAAGATGTCCGAGTGGTCGATGGTGTAGTATTGGAAATGCTATGTAAACTTTAGTTTACCGAGGGTTCAAGTCCCTCTCTTTCCGTTTTTTCTATTGCTCTTAAAAAGAACGTAAACAAATGATATTTATTTAGAATGAGCATCTAT